CTCCTCAGCGGCCCCGCGCTCCGCCTTCCCCAGCCCTACACGGGGTTGGCGGACGGGGAGAAGCGGGGTGGGACAGCCGCCGGCAGAGGAAGCGCGGTGTTTTCTGTAAATACCTTCCCTCCGCGGGCGATTCCTCTCAATCCTGAAAGGGAGCGTCCTGAGGCAAATGCCGGCCAGCTGCTTTTATTCCCTGTGAGAAGGGAACTATCGACTTACTGTTTAATACCAGTTAGCACCAATGGCTTGGCAGCGAGCAGCGGTGCCGTGCTGGAGTGTTGCTGCTTGCAGAAGTCTCAGCCTCACCCATTTAGTTAGGGGGTTTTGTAGGCCTTGAGATGTGAAATTATTATGGTTGTTATTATGATAAAGAGAATATTATTATCCTCCACATATATGCCTATTCCTATTTTGACTCTTAATACAACTCCTGGCCTCAGCAATGAGTCCTTAAAGTAACTTCAAGTTGGGTGGAAAAGTCTTCCTATCACCAATTTCGAGTTAACCATCTTTGATTTTCATACAATCACAGAATGGTTTGGGTTAGAAGGGACCTTTAAAGGCCATCCAGTCCACCCCACCCCACCCCTGCAGTGAGCAAGGACACCTTCCATAGATCAGGTTGCTCAGAGCCCTATCCAACCTGACCTGGAATGTTTCCAGGGATGGGGCATTGACCACCTCTCTGAGCAACGTGGGACAGTGTTTTGTGTTTTAGCTGGATGTTCATCTGCTCCTGTGTTATAAAGGGGTTTCTTCCTCCCTCTCCATACTAGTCTGTATTTTACACAGTTCTATCACATCACCCACTTACTCATCTGTCACCTTCTTCAGTGTCTCTTCGTGCAATAATTTTTCCACGTCCCTCCTCCTTCCAACAAACTTTACCTTCTAATCCTACAGTGTCCTGGGGAGGTGTGGTAACTGGTTCTTCCCAAAACATTCCAGAGGAAGCCATTGCCCTTGTTTTGAACGATGGCATGTAGTTTTCAATTTAAGCTCCATCCTCCTCCCAATGCACCCCAACAACTTGCTCTTTTTGCGGTCACGCTGCAGTCGTAAGTTCTAACTTGGTCATCTCGATACCATGGTTGTGCTTTAAGCTGATACAGACAGTGCTTTGAAAACCCAAGCATCACGTGGAGCCTTGAGCCATCTCATTTTTAACTATGATGAATGTGTGTTTCCTGAATCTCAGCCCCTTTTTGTTCCATAAAATTGTTGTTTCTTACTCATTTATTTCAGACACTTGAAAGGATCTTTCTCAAGTACGCTGTGACTGTTTAAAGACACCATCTCTGCCAGCTCTTCTCCAGCCCTTACCTTGTTGTCCCTCTGAATTTTATAATGTAGTGCTTCTGTAAAGGTGGTGAGGAGTCCTGCAAAGGAATTATTTCACGTCACAGCAGGTCCAGGGATCTGGGGATTCTGCAGTCTCTAAAGACTCACATACGCAGTTTGGATGATTTAATTATATGATTTTAACTATATTACCTTACAATTGAACTGAAGTGATGCGATTATGGAAGAAGGACTATTAGTCTAAGATGTAAGTGCTTGTATTGCTAAAATTTATTTCATTATAGAGGTATTAAGCCACTTCTCCTGGTATAACTCTTTTCCCTCTGGAGTGTTGTAGTAACTGAAGTACATTCCATCTTTTCCTAAACCACTACAGCTGATGGAAAGGCTGCATGTAGACAGAGAATCCCCAAATAATGGAGCAAAGGGGGATGCTCAGACCTTTTAACACCCATGAAGACTTCTTTTCAGAGCTGTAATCACCTGCTTGCTTTGCTCAGTTGCCTGTGGGGTACCCAGTTTATCTGGGCTTTGTCTCTTTCCCAATCTCCCTTTTCCTTCCCTGAAGGCCTTCAAATGGAGGAGCCGGGAGCGAGCAGGCTCCCCTCGCCATGGAGTCCATCCACTCACCTTCACAGGGCCTGGCAGAGATGGGCTACTCTTTGAGCGCCCTCCCCTCAGCCAGCCTGGATCGGCTGCGGCCAATTTCCCCATCAATTAGCAACAGCTCTCCAGGGAAGATAAAGGCAGGGCGGGGAGGCAGCCAAGACCGACTTTCCTGTGTGACTGCTGTCATGGAGGGCTTTGTCTATTCCCCCTTCGGCACATACCAGAGCTTCAGGGGCGGCCCCCCCCCGGGCCGCAGCCGGGACCCAGCGGTGAAGCAGCCCAGCTGGAAGCAGAGCAAGAGCGGCGGCATCAGCCCGGTCCTGGGCGGGCCCCTCAGCCCGCTGCCCTCCGACTACCTGGACAGCTACCGGCGGGCCCAGCTGCAGGCCTTGCTGTCCCAGGTGAACCCCGGCCTGGCGCCGCGGCGGCGCCGGCCCGTCACCAGGGAGGTGGGGGTGCAGGTGACCCTGCGGGCCGACGCCGCCGTGCAGTGCTCGCTGGGGCCGCGCACCCTGCCCGTCG